TTTTAGTAAAAGACTGTTATCAGCACAAGCTGCTTCCTCTGAACACCAATCTCCAAGCAGTTGCAATTCAGGTTACTCTCAATGTGCTGATGACAATTTGCTCTATTTACATTCCACCTAATGCAAAAATAACCATGCAAGACATAGAAAATATCCATAACCAACTCCCTGCTCCATACATACTTTGCGGAGACTTCAATGCCCACAATTTTCTGTGGGGCTCAAACCATTCGAGTTTTACAGGAAAAATTATTGAATCTTTTATAGATAACAGCAACACATTTTTACTTAATGATGGTTCGCCCACCCACCTCTCCTCTGCCACAGGCTCTTTCTCTGCCATTGATCTCTCTCTCTGCTCTCTTAATGTTGCCCCCATAATAACATGGAGGGTTCATGATGATTTATGTTCATCAGATCATTTTCCCATTTTCATAAAAATAGGTCCTGAGACACCTAGAACCAAGAAGAAAAAATGGGTGGTAAATAAAGCTGATTGGGAATTGTTCAAGAATTTGATTAATGTAAACCCTGAGAATAATCAAAGCCCTCAAGATATGCTCTCTCATCTCTCTGATCAAATGCTACACGCTGCTGCCGTCTCCATTCCTCAAACTTCCACAGAAATTTCAAAATTTCCCGTTCCCTGGTGGAACGATCAGTGTAGTGACTCAATTAGAGAGAGGCAAAAACTCCTTCGAACCTATAAAAAACATCCTAAAATTGAAAATTTAATTCAATACAAAAAAGCTAAAGCAATAGCTCGCCGAACAGTTCAATCTAGCAGAGCCTCAAGTTGGAAAACTTTTGTCCAGTCTATAAATTCACATACAACTTGTGGTCAAGTGTGGTCTCAAATTAAAAAACTCACTGGATCACCTGACCAGACCCATATTCCATCTCTAGAATCTAGAACGGGAGAATTTCTGACGGACCCACAGCAAATAGCTGAGGAACTTGCCGAACATTTTAGCTCAGTAAGTAGCGATATTCACTATTCCGAAAAGTTCTACCAACATAAAATTGAGGCAGAGCATGAAAAATTAGATTTTTCTTCAGACAATCAGGAACCTTACAATCAGAAATTTTCTTTAAAGGAACTAAATAAAGCTATCTGTGCTTTGAAGAGCTCAGCGCCTGGACCAGATGAGATACATAATCTTATGATAAAAAATCTCCCTTCCTATTGCAAAGAATATCTTTTAAAAATCTTCAATCTCTTTTGGAGCTCAAACCAGTTCCCAACAGAATGGCTTGAATCAACTATTATTCCGATTGCAAAACCTGGAAAAGTTAAGACCAAACCTTCCAGTTATAGGCCAATTTCGCTTACCTCCACCCTTTGTAAACTGTATGAATCTATGATTAATAAGAGACTTATCTACACTCTTAATCAAAAATCTGCTTGGAATAACATCCAGTCTGGAGCTCGGAAAAATCGGTCTACTTACGATCACCTCATTAAAATTCAAAGTACTATTCAAGAAGGTTTTCTTAAAAGATTAGATACATACGCCATTTTCTTTGACATAGAGAAAGCGTATGATACCACTTGGCGATACAACATCCTCAAAAATCTACATAAATGGGGTTTCCGAGGCCACCTTCCTTTTATGATCACAAACTTCTTGAAACGTAGACTTTTTAGAGTAAGAATAGGAAATATCTATTCTGAAATTCACGAATTATTGAATGGAATTCCTCAGGGAAGTGTTTTGAGTTGCACACTTTTTGCCATTGCAATTGACTCAATCTTAGAATGCATTCCAAAGTCAGTCGAAACATCTCTATTCATGGACGATTTCTGTATTTACTTTAATGTTAAAAACCCTAGAATATCCACAAAACTCTTCCGAATCTGTGTACAAAAACTTCAAGATTGGACAGACAAAACAGGTTTCAGCTTTTCACCTCAGAAGACAGTTGGAATGATCTTTAGCAGGAGGAAAAAGCTACCAAAACCCCCGAAAATTTTTCTCTCTGGTAATCAAATCATTTTCAAGACAACAGTTACGTACTTAGGACTAATTTTTGATCAAAAAATGACTTGGGCTGACCACATTTCAAATCTTGTGGCTAAATGTAAACGAAGAATGAACATATTAAAGTACCTTTCAAATACAACCTGGGGAAGCGATAGAATCACTCTTCTCACCTTATATAGAAGCCTTATCAGATCAACCATAGATTATGGATGTTTCATCTATCAGAGTGCAGCGGATTTTCATTTGAGAAAATTAGACTCTATTCACACTTCATCACTTCGCATAGTTCTGGGGGCATTTAGAACAAGCCCCCCTCTGTCCATTTGCGCAGAAGCAGGGGAACCACCTCTCTATTGGAGACGCCAAAGACTACTTGCAGGCTATATCGCCAAGGTTATGAGTCTCCCTAATCATCCCACTTATTTTTCTCTTTTTTCCAAACAATTAGAGGATACGGCCACTGTTAAAACTATTTCAAAATGTGTCACTACAATGCTTGATGATTTCAAGTCAAAACATAACATCAAACAGTTGCTAACAACTAGATGTGAAATTCCTCCTCATCCACCCTGGTTTCAGACTATGATCAATATAGACACCTCTTTAAGCTCTGTCAAGAAAAATGATATTAGTGTCCAACAGTAACAAACTAGTTTTTCCAACTTCCTAGAAAAGTATGATGGTTATAGGCGGCTGTACACGGATGGATCAAAGACAGAAAATGGTGCTGGCTGTGCTTTTGTTGAACTTGAAGAAAATATGTCCTTTTTACAAATTCTCTCTCCTTTGTCTTCTGTTCTTACAACAGAACTCTATGCAATTCTGGAAGCCGTCAAGTACACTAAAACGATAACTTTCTCGCAACCTCAAAAATTTTTGCTAATGTCCGACTCCCTCTCTGGTCTTACAGCCATAGAAAATCAAGGAGATAACCCTCTTCTCTTTGACATTTCGGCTCAACTTCAAAATTCACCACATAACATCATTATGGCTTGGATCCCGGGTCATTCGGGAATCATCGGTAATGAAACAGCGGATATTATTGCCAAATCTTGTTGTAATCCAAATAGTCCCCCTCTACACACACATTTCGTTCCTCCACAAGATTTGAAAAAAGCGCTCCAGTCTCACATCAATGATTCCTGGGAAGACTACTGGATGAACAACGACAAAAACTTACTTCAAAGAAGACCTAAGCCATATGATAACACCTCCTTCAACAAACACCGCACCTGCGAAGTCCAAATTGCTAGACTGCGAATCGGCCATACTTTTTTCTCTCATTCTCATTTAATTTCAAAATCTCCAGTTCCTTTATGCTCTCTTTGTCAACACTCCCCCCTTACAATCGACCATATTTTACTTTCTTGCCCTAAAACCTATGCCACACGTATCAAAATTCGAAGTTCCCTCCCTCTTAGTATGCGCCCTTTGTGTTCAGATAGTCCAATGGTAGTAACAGAAATTTTAAAACTCTTCAAGAAACTAAATTTAAAAATTTAAAATTGCCTAGTCCCCGACGTAAATAGCCTAGATGCTGATCGTCGTTAAATAAAATTAACTAACTAACTAACTAACTATATATATATATGCTTATTTATGTATGTATTTCCGACTCATCGTGGTTTTTCCGATTTTCGCTGGGTTATATTTCCCTCATTTTAAAAAAGTTCCGGGTGAAACTTTTTGCGATGTAAAGTAGAGGAACAGGACTACCATTTTGCGAAAAAAAAATGGAGATCGAAGTATTACATTTAGAATGGTGGGGGCGAGAAGTGGGGGGAGGTTCAATTTTGTGGGCGCGATAACTCGCGCAAATTAAAAGCTTCCCCCCCGAAATTTTTATAGAAGGAAGATCTTACTTAGTTCTAGGCTGGTATTGAATTTGAGCGAAATCGGTCGAGCCGTTTAAAAATGGCGAGCTTTGAAAGTTCTAGGCGGGGGGTGTGCGGCAAAAGAGGAGGGAAGCCGCACAGTAGTGGGTCACGAACTGAAAGTTGGTGGACAAGACGGCAATGTTGTCACACAGTGGGTCACGAACTGAAAATTGGTGGACAAGACGGCAATGTTGTCGCACAGTGGGTCAAGAACTGAAAGTTGGTGGACAAGACGGCAATGTTGTCGCACAGTGGGTCACGAACTGAAAATTGGTGGACAAGACGGCAATGTTGTCGTACAATGGGTCATGAACCGATAATTGGTGGACATGATGGCTTTATTGTCGCACAGTGGGTAACAGACTGATAATTGTTAGACAAGACGGCAATGTTGTCCCACGGTTATGGAGATTCATCCATCGTCATTCAAACTTGCCACAGCGTTTGTTGACATTCTTTCATATCAGACATTACATGAGGATTGTTTTTGCAATCTGGCGACATGAAGTCCTTATTCGAATAATCAAATGCCTCCAACAGTGTAAACGTAAATCCAACCCCCAAAGATTGATAACTCCCCGCCCCCGCCCCTCCCTTCGGAAAATACACTCTTCCCGCGGTGGACGCGCGGGTCACTTAAAAGACAGAACAACTGAGGCCGGATACTCAAACTAAAAAAAACACACTAAAAACGCGCGCGAAGCGCGCGTCCTGGGGGGGCTTGGGGGGGCGAAGCCCCCCCAAAAACCGGCGCGGAGCGAAGCGGAGCGCCGGTTTTTTTATATGTGTGCTCGTCATCTCAAGAGACAACCCGCAAGCTCTGAAACAATGTAAGCTACAACTTTGACATCATTTCAAACATTGAACTATTTCTTCTTATTTTTTCGCTCTCTTTATCCTTACTCTGCTTGTCTACCTATTGTTCTTCACTGCATTTTTACCGTTTCATTTTTCTTCGAAAAAATTTCCCTTCATTTCAGCGCCTTTATTGTAATGGCGCCTGGTGCACTGGTGCAGCTGCTCTTGATGTGTCATTTATGATCCGGCGCTGCTTTCCACTATTCGATTTTGTACGCACTCCTTTCTCCATTCTCTCTTTTCTTTGGCATTACTTTTTTCATATTTCTTTTTTTAGCAGGTGAAAACATCATGATGGATTTCTTAGAGCCGCTCTCCTCGCTATCGCCCCTGCTGTACGTGCCCCTATTGGCGGGATCCCTGTGCTTGGTGTTCAACTATCTAATCTACTCGCGGCGGGTGGCCGAGTGGCGCAAGTCGAAGATCCCTTTTCTGGAGCCGAGCGTCTTGATCGGGCACAAGTACTTCTGGGGCGTGGGCAGCAACTCCGCCGTCGTCCCCATCGACCGCATCTACCGGGAGAATAAGGACAAGGACCTCGTCGCTTTCTTCATCGCCACCATGCCTGTCGTCCTCGTCCGGAGCCCGGCACTCATCAAACAGGTCAGTTGGTTGGACTCAGTGACCGATGGGAAGCTCTCCATTAGCCCTTACTATTTAAAAGTCAAAACATTTGAAAATCCAATTTTTATTGAAGAAGTTGCCTCCAAATCCGCCTGAACCTTAGAAGCCAACCTTTTCTTCTTCAGGGTCATCCAGTTGAAAATCACCTTATTTGAAACAGAGTAAAGAGTAAAGAGTAAGTTTTGAGAGTCTAAGTCGTAAGGGAACGGGATCCTTCTATGCATGCGACTTTTTCAACGCGTGGGACATAATTTTGCCTATAGTCGTTTGAATGAAGGGGAATCCTTGATTTCGCTCTTGTAGACAAATTGTATCTTTGCGTGATGTTCTCTAAATTCCATCGGCTTTTCTTTACAGATACTTGCAAAAAACTTCGACAAAGCCTTCGAGACTTGGTGGGGAGCATCACCTCACGACGAGATAGCACAACACGTTCTGGGCCAGAGCACGGATAAAGGCGTGTGGAAATCCGACCGAAACACTCTCTCGCCCATGTTTGCCACAGGAAGGGTGAGTGGTGAGCACTTCGCCAAGATCACGAACCAGATCACCAACATGTGGACCCACGCTGAGGACGCGCGGCTCCAGGGAAAGTCCATCAATACACAGCAGGTTAGGAATAGTCACTCATTTACTAAAACTACTGATTGAAAGAACCGAGTCCAACTCGGTAGGAAACTGGCCAAGCTCCAGATTTTATAGTGCACGGATCGCACAGCTATTGGACGCAATATTAAAATTTGACATTATGATATGTATCATTGGATTGAAGTTAGGTTTCCTTGTTTCCTAGGTTACGATGAATTTCATCCAGGATGGCTTTTCCAACAGCTTTTTCGGCATGGATGCCAACTCGTACGAAAAGGAAACGGAACTTCGTAAGCTTGTTCGAGGTTTTGTTAAGCCAGGATGGAGCAGACTGCTGCGAGGTTTCAACTTTCAGGGATTCCAGGCTTTCGATTCGTTGAAATTCGTTAGTCCAAAGGATATGGTATCGATGAAAAGTCTGCTTCAGAAGCAAATGTCGCAAAGAAGTCGGGCCGGTGGCAATGAAAATGACTTAATCGACATCCTCCTTGACATTAAAGAACAAAGTCAAGACAAAACAAAGGATTCAGGTAAGAGGGTGCTCACAAACTATGAAGCCTCGATAACTGTACGTGGGGGGGGGGGGGATTCCACCCCCCCAAAAAAAGCCAAAAGTTCATGGTATTGAGGAAGTAAGACTTGCGAGGTGTCAAACCAGAGGTGGTTTGCCTCTATCAATGACAAGGACCCATCCACTATCCAGCTCTGTATTAGATTTTTTTTTTTTTAATTTAAGGGTTTTATATCCCTTCTTGGGGATGTCTTTAGAAACAGCTTCATTAAAAATTCAAAAACCGCGCAGAAGAAGATTTTGTATCGGTACAGCTTCCTGTGCCATGCAGTTCATGGTCATATATGTCCCCCTCAGCACCTCAAGATAATTGTAAAAGATTACCATAAATGAAGTTTTCCTGTCAGTTTAGATCATAAATGCATTACGAATATCAACAATTTTAAACCGAAAAAGTCTTTTGAGGGGTCGCGGTCGTTTAATACATAGCCCTTTTTCAAACAAGTTCTTTCCTGAGAATGTCCAATATGGTTTACACTGTGGTTAAGGGACGTATATGGAAGCTCTGAATATTATAGGATAATAAAATGGACCATTTTTTAAAATCTCGCGTAAACTTCAGTATTGTAAAACTCTGGAAACAGATCTCTTCGCGGAGACCTAATGATTGCCACTAAAGAAAATTACATAATTCAAAAGAATATACATAGGTACTATGGAAGTTTTGCCAATGGTAGGTTCATACCCACCTTACATAATCTCACGATCATAATCGCTTTTCCCCTATATTTTTTAATTTTTTCGGTAGCAAATAGTTATAATCCTCGCATGCAAGGCTCCATCTCTGAACTTACAATAAAAATTTTTACTCGAGGCTTGCAGTAATTGTCTATTTTATAATGATATGTTCAAGACTGCCTTAATCCTCCCTGTATCGCAGTGTCATAACTATGTGAGGCCCCAACGGGAAGTTACTGTCCTAGAAATACGACCCCGAGGGACGATTTTTTTTTTAAAGTTTCGGAAAATTACAATTTAGCCTTTCATACGGTATCAACGAAAAACCACTTCATTGAAATTTCCAGAGATGGACGTCACGAATGAAATGGTCGGTCTTGGACTGTCTATATTGTTCCTTGGAGGGATTTCAATTGGCTTTGTAGCGAGCTTTACTTTGCACTTGCTGTCTCTTCACCCCGAATATCAGGAGCGAATAAGAGAAGAGGTGGAAGAGGTCATGAAGAAGCACAACACTACAGAATTCACTTACGAAGTCGTTCGTGATCTCCATTTTATCGACCAGTGTCTCCGTGGTGAGTTTGAATCGTTACGATCATTTCCAATTTAACCTGCAGCCTTGCTCTAAAGATGTTGTAAAAACAGCCCCTAGCCATAATTAATCAGATGTAACTTATTTATTTGTATTTCCTTTAATAAGTATCTGAAATTTTAAAAGCCTCCCTAAATATATCCTCAATATGGCGTCACCAGGCTACGGTCACTATGTGATTGTTCTTTGCCTTGTTCTAAGTATGTTGTTAAAGCAGTCCCTTCCAATAATAATTCGGATGTAACTTATTTTCTTTTCCTCTTATATATATCTTGCTTTTTTTTCTTTTAATTTATTTCCTATGTATAACGTCCTAAGTTAATGTCTGTGTGTCTCTAGAAACTGCACGTTTGTATCCGAATGACACAGCACTAACAAGGGTGTGCACGGAGGACATTACTCTGGCCGGCACTGACTGCACGCTCAAGAAAGGTCAGCGAGTTATCTTCTCCCCTTACTCTGTTCACCGCGATCCACAATATTTCGAGGACCCGGAGAAATTCGATCCGGACCGCTTCAGCTCAAAAAACATGGATAGTATTGATGCTTTTCTCGCTTTTGGCAAAGGACCTCGAAAGTGTCCAGGTAAGAGCATTTAGAAGTCAGCCAACCGTACAAATCCTTCCCTCACCTTCCTTCACATTTCTACTTGTCTACCTTCTCTAAAGATTACCGTCTGGGCTTAGAATTTAAGCGTACATCATGGAGGAAAATCAAAACTGTTGAAAAATTGGAAATTTAAGTTAAGAAATAAAAATTAAATAACTATTGGAAGAAAGACTCATTGAAAAATCGGTAATTTTTTATTTTACAGGTTTGAAGCTAATACTTTTTTCAGTAAAAGCTTAATACAGATCGAGATAATGTATGTCTTTCGAATAGATAAGTATTCGTGCTCTACGGTATGTCTGTTGCCTAAGCGGCAAAATTTAAGGCGAAATTCAAGTTGACCATAATTAAGTAATAATTACAACATTGTTCGCCGTTCAGATTGAAGCTTATGAAGTCATATAAATGTGATTTGAAAAAAATAAATAAATAAAGCATTCGCTTCATTCCGGCTCCCAGTTGGATTTGTTGTCTATGCTTTGAACTTGATGTCTAACTTCAAGAGGACGATATCTACCAACAGAATTGAACAATGGTTGATCGGCGTAGACACCGCATGCAGGGGAATAACTGTATATTTATAAAATAACTTACCATTCATGCTCCCAAGTAGATGAATCAACTACATGTAAAAAATAAAGGCAAACAATAAATGGACGATATTTATCCAATTCTGTACAACACTTCAAGGAGTATTGCGACCTCCTCAATCGAAAAATAAAAGCTTTGCACACTCATATTATTTTATTCTCGCCTTCCAAATGAGGGAATGATGCATTTTTATAAATGTACTCATCCTTTTTCACTCTCTGATAGGTAAGAACGTTGGTCTCTTAATGGGGTCGGCTCTGATTGGCTCTCTGGTGCACAAGTACGAAGTGAGACCACGCTCTCACACGAGGCAGATGGACGCGTACGATTTCCATCCACGGAGTTTCGCCATCGTCCACAAAGATGACATCCTCGTCGATTTTAAACCTCGAGAAGTTCTCTCTTGCTGAGGGAGATATCCGGGAACTTTTTGCCGAGATATTTAGTTTCTGTTTTTTGCTCATTTAATCCTCTTGTTTTTTAGTAGTTTCTTGTGGAAAAACTTTATTTTTGGTGTTGATGATGATATTGTTTACTTTTTCAAAAAATTGTACCTGTTGATAATAAACTGCATTACTTTGATTCCAAGCGGTGAACAATTTTTGGCAAAACTACTTGGCCCCATTGGTTCCATCCCTTTGTTCAATTTTGTTTCCAATGAGTGCAACCCGTCATTGCAATTTTTTATCGATCAAAATCATCCGCTCTCATAATCTCTTTTTAATACGCATAGAGGACACATAAAGACGACACCGTTGATGCAACTATTCGTGCATTACGGAATAAAATTGCATACCTAAATGAATGCAGGCATTACACGACCGCACAAATCTGGAAATGTGCTGTCGGTGTTTCCAATCTACCACCAGATAGGGTGAGAGCCTAACTGCTGCAAGTTTTGTCTCATCGTCAACAACTCACGCACAATACGTCAAAAATGTTAAAAGAGCTTAAAATGAATTGATGAGTGGCAAGTCAGTGTTTAAAAAATAAGTCAATATCAACTTCCTCCTCGCGAAAATATTAAAAGCAAGGTAAAGCCCACTAAAAGCATATAGGACCAAATCTTGCAATTAGCATTTAGTATTTTTGGATCATTTTAGATATATGCCATTTGTTTCCTTATGCAGACAGGTGCCTGTGTGGAAGGACAAGATATAGTACTTCCTTATTGTTGCAAAATGTAATACAGTTGATTATTCGACAAAGAGGTAATCTTGAATTTAGAAAAAAAAAAGTTCAAATTTTAAACGTTGCATTTGTAAAGTTGCGAAGAAAAATTCAGCACACTAAGCAAAATATTACCTCAAAGAAGGAAATCGTTTAGTGGTCGGTTTATGCTACGAATAT